TGCACCTCCCAACAGTTGGATTGGTTTGTCTGCTCTTGCAATGAGACTAACATATTTTTAGAAGCCTTTCTCATATATTGTTCTCATGCGTTCTTTAAAAAAATCTATCTCTATATCTTTATCGCATATCACTCAGGGGCAAACCAGCTTGTTTATTCATTTTGAATCAACTAAGAGGAAAGCTGTATTTCCTGTATGTGACAAAATAGATTGGTGGCAAGTAAGCTGAGAAAGCACTTTTTAAAGTTGCTGTGCTTATTGGTAAGGGGTGGCAGAGTATGAAATAATAGAACAGTACACTTCCTTTAGAGGCAGAGTCTTCTACATGAAGAGTAGACGAGTTAATACTGTACAGTGCTTTAGAATAATCCTTGGCACATGTCAAGTACCGTGTGTTTTTGCATTAATATTATTTGAAAGAAAAAATCCAGATAATGTTACTCATTTAGCAAGTTACTAATGGAACTTGTTGTCATAACGGTATCTGAAAAAATTATTTGAAGATTATGGAAGCCTTTGGTAACAAACTGTTGTATTTTCTTATGATCATACTACTTAATACCGGTGATTTTATTTGTCTGAGCGTGTTTATTTTGATGATACCAACTTTGATCAGTTAAAGTTGAATCAATAATGCTCACCTTAACTGTGCATTGTACTACGCAGCATACTATGAGGACCGAGGGCGCCAAGAGATGGGCGTTCAAATAATGATGATAAAATAAGCAATTGCAATTTAAATAATTATTTTAAAAAAAAACGATAAAAAGCCAACTCCACAAAGCGGCATTTGATCTTGGTGAGTTTTCGGATAGTTACGAAGAGAGGCAAGAGTATTATTACTACATAATATTCAAGGACTCCAAAGAATCCTCCATCCTCCGGTTGGCCACGAGAAAGTGCTGCCAACTACCGGCAGGCCCCACGTATGAAAGTGAGAGCGGCAACTTCGGCCCTAGTTAAGAAAACAGTAAAACTCCGCCTCAGTGCAACGCAATGAGAAGGAAGAAGGGAAGGAGAGTCAGGCTTTCTACCCAACCCGTCCCAGGGTTCTTTAAGCGCCTTATCCCTTCCTCCCAAGGAGGACAGTCCAGTCTGGCTCTCTGGCCCTGACGGGAGAACGCAGGGAACCGCAGACTGTGCCCCTCGAGCCCGGTCCCCGCGGACCTGCCATCGGGCCCCGCGCTTCCAGCCCCCGCCCGGCCCGCGTGGCCCGGCTTCTGCCCCGGCGGCCCCCGGCGCGGCGGGGGTCCGCCTCCCCGCGCAGGCCGGCCTGGGTGTCCCGGCGGCTCCCGGGCGCCCCCTGGCCCGGCTCCGGCGCCCGAGGTTTCCGGTGAGCTGCAGTCGCCGGTTATGACGACTCCCTCCTCCGGAGCAGCCGCCGCCGCCGCCTTCTCCGCAGCCCCGGTTCGCCCGGCTCCAGGTGGGACTCGCCCCGGGGTCCGCGGAGCCTTCACCCGCCCTCTCTCTGTGCCGCGGCAGGCTGAGCGGCTCTTGGGGCCGGGCGCGCGGTGGGCGCTTCTGCCCGCTCCTGGGGCGGCTTCCCGGAGGGCTGGCGCCTCTCCACGGGTCCGCCTGCGCCTTCCCAACGCCCGCGGGCCGAAGAGGCGGACGTGGGGAAGCCGATCCTGACCCTCCCGACCCCGAGCGCTCGGTCTCTTCATGGCGCCTGCAGCGGCGCACGGGACCCCGGGGGCCCGCCGGGCGCGGAGAAGAATGCCGGCTCCCCGGCCGGCGCCCCCTTGACCGGGTTTCCCAGGCCGGGGCGGAGCCGCTCTCCAGGCCCCTCCCAGGAGCGCCAGGGACCGGGGGTGCGGAGTGCGGTGTTGGGTGTTGGGCGGCCCCCGGGGATCTCTGCGCCCCAAACCCAAGCGCAGCATCGAGGCCGCCGAAGGGCGCTCGCCGCTGACCCCGCCGCCCTGGTTTCACTGACGTTCTAGCAGACAGCTGGTGGACCTCACCTGGGCATCTCAGACAGACCCTTTCTAACTTCCTGTCGTGGAAAACTTCTAGCATTTGTCGGGGCGAGCAGTTTTAGGAGTCCTTGTGGGTCTCAGATGCGTTTAACTTTTCACCTGTCCACTGCCTTCTTTAAACTTTCGCAAGCTCTGTCACAGAACATCACCCCCTCTCACCCGTGTTCCCTATCAGCCTCCGGCTTTCATGTCTCATCATCTTTCAGGCTTTTCCCTTTTTCCTTTCCCCTTCTTAGGCCTGTGGAAACAGCTGTTTTGTGCTGAAGGAAAAAGTAGCTCAGCTGCTAAAGCTTCTATCTGCTGGGGAAGTGCACCCTCCCATCCCTCAGGGGCTCTTGCAAGAGGACTCAACACCAGAAGGGCTCTGCCAGACCCCGAGATTGTGCTTTCAAGCACTAGCAGCCACTCCTAGTTCATGCAAGCGGGTGCATGCTCTCTGCAAAAGCCAGGTTTCTGATCTGAGTCTTTGGATTTTTCCCTTGACCTAAGTGTTACTCCTTCATGGATCAGTGGATTTAGTTATGGCTAGAGCTCAGTCCAGGACAATGGATTTGGATAATCAAAGGCCAAGACTTGGTCATAGCAATGACCTATTTCCTGGAGGGATGAGCAAAGGATTGGCCGTTCTGCCTGTTGAATCTGAAAGCTCAGGTTGTAGTAGAGCCTTGGGAGCAGTTTAATTCGGTGAGTCGGATTACTTTGGTGAGAACCAAGCAGATTGTTTTCTCCTAGGAATGTTTTATCTGCTGAGTGTCCTGTTGGCCTGTACCAGTTGGTGCCTGTAGAAAGTGGGTCATCTCCTTCCTGCTCACTGTTAGAATCTGTTTTGTTAAGTTGCTGTCTGGAGGGTTATGACCTGCAACCTTGCATTTAGCAGTATGTATTTGTTAAGGCAAGGAAAGGGCACCTGAGCCAGGCCATCTGCTTAAGGCGTGTCTCACTAAATGCCAGTCCCTCTGCTTACAGGTATATCTTGTTAAATTATCTTCTCTCTTAATATTTCCTTTAATTCAAAATATCATCTGGATGCGAAAGTCTATTTTAACATCCTTTTAAGGTAATATGTTTCATTTCTGACAGATTTTAGATATCTGAAACATCACAACAGCTTCTTGGTGGTTCTCAGGATTAAAGAGGTAAATATTTTCATTATAATTGGAGTCACTGTTGCTATTAATATGTATTTTTAAATTTTGTGAAATTGCTATCAACTCACGGTTGGATAAAAGTCCCAACTAAAAATATTAATTCAGGTGACCTTTATAACAAATAACCATATATTCCTTTTAGGGTTACCTGAAAGAGCCACTGTATTTCCCACTCCAGAGGGGAAAGGGATTTCTTCTTGGTGTCCCAACTGTTTAGTTGTGATTACTTGGCCTTGGGACTTGAGGCCTGATTGAACATAGCAGTCTATTATTAAAGGCTCCATCTTCATCGCCCATAGTCAGTGAAGACTGATTTTGAACACTGGGTTTTCCAGTGTGCTCCAGTGACAGCAGACCCTGCTGGGGAGCTGCTCATGTGTACCAGGGCTCTATCATCTGGTGGGAAGACCACTTTAAAAAAAATAGAGCAAAGAAACCACTAAAGTGAACCCAAAATGGCACGATTATTATCTGTGAAAAATAAGTGAAATCTGGTCTAAGAGATTTAATCCTTCTAGGGTGAGTTAGAAATGCAGGAAGGTCCGTGACCATCATCTCTTTTCACAATACTAAGGCAGGGCAGGGAGAGTTTAAGGGCACAGCCCTGAGGCAGACTAAGAAAACTCACTGCTGGAGTTTTCTTAGTTTTAGTCTTAGTTGTTAATAACATAGATGTTACTTTTTAAAAATATTTATTTATTTATTTATTTGGCTGTGCTGGGTCTTAGTCGCGGCATGTGAGATCTAGTTCCGTGACCAGGGATCGAACCTGGGCCCCCTGCATTGGCAGCACAGAGTCTTAGCCACTGGACCACCAGGGAAGTCCCCATAGATGCTATTATACCCGCTAGAATGTAAGCTCCGCGAGGGCTGAGGAGTTTAGTTTTCAGCTGTACGTTCCTTGCTGCATCCTGGTACTTAGAAAAGTAGCATATTCTCACATACTGCAGTGATGGTTAGTTTTTATTCAGCAGGTACACACTTGCTTGGAACCATTGTACTTCCTTTCTTCTCTCTTCCTGGCATGTTTTCACTGCTTCTCATCTGGCAGGTCTCAGCTCAAACGTTACTTAGCAACCCCACCCCATCCCATGTAGCTTTAAATATTTATTTAATAAACACTTAACGTAGCATTTAATGTGCCAGGTACATCTAGACACGTTACCAATATTTAACTCACAACAGCCCTATGGGGAAGGGTTATTCTGATTTCCATTTTACAGATGGAAAAGCTGAGACACGGAAAGATTAAATAACTTGCTCAAGGTCAAACAGCTTAGGCTACAGCCACACTCAAACCTCAGTGGACTAGCTTCAAAGTCTATATGCTGAACCAGCGTGCTGTGTTGTGTATCACGTTACCTTACTTACTCAGACAGGGTCCTATCAAGGTCCTCCTCCCATCTTTGCAAATAAAGTTTTATTAGAACACAGCCCCCCTTTCCTCTAGCATAGCTATGGCTGCTTTCCTGATAAAGGCCCTGTTGAGGAGTTGTCTCAAACACTGCCTGGCCTGCAAAGCCAAAAATATTTACTACCTGGCCCTTTCCAGAAAAAGTTTGCCAGCCCTCGGTTTATTTGATTCACAGCCTTTGTCATCTGAAGTTATTTATTTGATTGTTTATGTCTACTCCACTAGCTTGTAAGCTCTGTGAGAGCAGGGGTCCTTCCTGCTTTTTCACCTCTGTATACCTAGCTCCCAACACAGTGCCTGGCAAATAACAAGTGCACAATCAATATTTGTAGAGTAAAGGAACATTATTCAGTGAAATAGCAAAGTTCACTGTAATTGTGCTTAGCCCTTGAGCCTTTGGCTTTGAAAGGGTATGTCTTAATGAGGATGTTGTCAATTTGATCTTTAGGTTTGGAGGTTGCTATGTTCATGCTGCTTGTCTTTGGAGCATTGCTTCATGAAGTTCCCCTAAGTGGCCAAGACGAGGCTCCTCCCCAGGCTGATGGCATTCTGGGTGCCCCTCTGTTCAACTATGCCAGCCTCCGCCTGCCAGAAGAGCATATTCCCTTCTTTTTGCACAATAATAGGCATATTGCCATGGTCTGTAAGAAAGACTCGCATTGTCCTTATAAGGTAAATACTATTCTCTCCTTGTATATTTTTAAAAGGAAGCAATTTAGGCTGGTTCACTAGTTCCTCATTGTAACTTGAGCCTGAAAGTAGACTTCAGTCTCTTGGTTGTAACTGTGAGTCAATCAGTGTTTGTATTTCATCTAACGCTTCTTAGTGACTCAACTTTGCTAAGAATTATGTCCCACTCACAAAGGTGAGATTTTAAATCTAAATCACTAGTAAAATAAATAGGCAGCCTATACTATTTGTATACTCTGTAAATGAAGTGAATTACATTTGATGCAGAAAAGAATATCTAGTTAAAAGTAACTGGAGAATTTCACACCTCTCCTTAATCTGCACTTCAGAGGATCTCTCCGCACTTCATGTTGGTAATAACACCTCCACCTCTGTCTCCAAATAATTAAGACTATTACTGCAGCCTTCCTTCTGTTTTAGAGTTGTTGGAAAGGTTTCAGATTGGAGCCCATTCAGACATCTCATGAGGCCTCAGAGATCAAAGCAGGGCATTGTGAGCCATTTCCTTTCCCATGGTGCTGGCACAGGAAGCATGCGGAGAGGCAGGGCTGGGAATCAGATCAGGACTGCTCCTGGGGCCTCGCAGAACAGCATCCTAAGCTCCCTGGCCAGCAGCAGCTGCTGTGTCCCGCAAGGGCTGCAGAGCTGTGACATCTTCCGGGATCTCTGCTGATCTCGGTTGATGAGTGAAGCTGCTGGTCCCTTCGGTTTAGTTGTGATTCTTCTGGGGATAGAAATTCCAATTTTTGTGACTCTCTAGGGACTGATTTTAGGATCAGTTTCCTCACTGATTTCATAAAGCTACTTCAAGAAATTCCAATTCAGGGGAGGAGGTTAGGGGAGGGATGGAGTGGGAGGTTGGGGTCAGCAGATGTAAGCTTTTATATATAGAATGGATACATAAGGCCCTACTGTAGAGCACAGAGAACTATATTCAGTATCCTATGGTAAATCATCATGGAAAAGAATAAATATAAAAAAGGATGTGGGTATATATATATGTATAATTGAATCACTTTGCCGTATGACAGTAATTAACACAACATTGTAAATCAACTATATTTCAATAAAAAATTAATAATTAATTAAGTTAAAAAAACGGCAATTCAAATGATCTGTGGTAGTCTGGCTAAAACCCAGATTTTTGGTGGGAGGACAGACCTGGTGGGGGAGGGGTTGGTGATTAAGGATAATTGTTAAGAAACTTGAGACTGCTTTTTTTAGAATTTACTTATTTCTATTACATGAATAAGTATTATAAAACATGAAGGTGAAAGTTCTATAAAGATTTGTTTTCCTTATGGAAAAAATTCTGAGTCCTCTCTAAATGTCAGAAGAAGGTAGACAAGTCTAAACATATACCTCTTATGTTCCAGAAACACTTAGAAAATTTAAAGTACTGCTGGGGTTATGAGAAATCCTGCAGACCAGAGTTCAGGTTTAGTTACCCTGTTTGCACCTACGTGGATATGGGATGGTAAGTTTCTGGATGGAATACCTCTTCCCCTGTACTTTGTCTCCTTTCTCTGCAGTGTATGCTGAGGCTCCAATCCCCAGCTAGACTCTTTTGGTATTAGATAGTAATTCCTTTAGATATTAATTTGCTTACACAGTCATCAGTTCAACTTGACTGTCTCCCACTGGGACAGGAATATCTCTCATTTCCTCTGCCAGAGAGAGAAAACAGTATGGATCACAGAAAATATTTTCCCCCAGCATATGCTAAGAAGATAAATGGATGGTTTCTCTTGGTTCTGGAGAAGAGAGTTAAGTATAATCAGTATTTCCAACACAGGCAAGGTTCACGGGGTAAAGAAAATACAGTAATTAACAGTTCATTGTCTTCAGTTCCAGATGATCCTAACTTCATACCTTTCCATTTTGTATTTTTATTATAAGGGAGTAAGTCTATAAATAACTTATTTTGCTTACTTCATGTAGTGAGGGATAGATTTTTCAATTATGATAGTTTACTTAAAAAAAATAATGACTGACTTCTAGCAATTTAACACTTAGAAAGAAAATTTAAGGTCCAGAAAAAGTAAAAAGATGAATATCACAGAATTTTTTGTTTTCTAACAGGACGGACACTCTTGAATCAGCCCAGGAAATATTCTGGAAGCAAGCTGACTTTGGGTATTCTGGAGAGCGGCTGGAGGAACTCCACGTGCTCTGCCAGCCGAAGGGAATGGTGGGTGTTTAACCCCTTCATAAACGAGTGTGTTTATTCGGAAACACCCGTAGTATTTATTTATTTATTCATTTATTTATTGAAGTATAGTTGATGTACAATATTATATAAATTACAGATATACAATATAGTGATTCACATTCACACTTTTTTTTTTTTTTTTTTTTTTTGGTTCCACGGCTCTTCAACTGCTGTGGCCTCTCCCGTTGAGGAGCACAGGCTCCGGCCGCGCGGGCTCAGCGGCCATGGCTCACGCGCCCAGCTGCTCCACGGCATGTGGGATCTTCCCGAACCGGGGCATGAACCCGTGTCCCCTGCATTGAAAGGCGGACTCTCAACCACTGCGCCACCAGGGAAGCCCCTAGCGCTGAGTCTTAATAAATCGTGGTAATCAGTATTACATTGTTGCTGAGTTTATCTTATCAATCACCTCCTAACAGCCCGGGGCACGAACCCGTGACCCCTGCATCGGCAGGGGGACTCTCAACCACTGCGCCACCAGGGAAGCCCACACATTCACACTTTTAAAAGTTATATTCCATTTTTAGTTATTATAAAATATTGGCTATATTCCCTGTGTTGTACAAGATATCCTTATAGCTTACTTTATACGTAATAATTTGTATCTCTTAATCCCCTACACTCATAGTGGTTAGATCATAATATAAAAACAAGATAGATGGCACTATGAAAGGAATCCCTCCCTGTCTGGTCCAGTGACATCGGTAATACCTGCCCTGCCTATCTGCTATACTGTTTGTGAGAATCAAGCTAGCAAACATACAGAAAAGCGTTTTGCAAGCTGCAAAGTGCTGACAAACACTGCATGGTGAGGGTGTATCATGTGTCCCAAACTACTTGCAAGGGCATTTATAAAGATGTAATTTATCAATCTATCTTCTTTAGTATATGTTGGGGGGAATAATTCTAAACCCAAAAATATTTTAATTGCCTCGAACTATGACAATCTGATATATGTTTGAAAGGAGGACATGGCTTCCAACTGCTTTCAAAAACTGAATAGATGCTGTATAGTGCTTTTGGAGGGTGTCGTGTGAAAGAACTTCGAGTGATTCTAGCAAGGTGGCTGAACCGGAAGATGGAGGCAAGGTGTTAACCTGCACTGCTGAGGGGTGTCTTTAATAGACGACGTTTTACACTTTGTCTGGAGTTTAGCTGTTCATGTGGAAAGGGCAGGGAAGGGCCCCACCTCCACCTCGCACACCTCTTCCAAGGCGGTTTGCAGAATGCTTTCCTCACCAAGATCTGCCTTGTTAGGTTTTGTGCTATCAGGGTATGACCCCTTAGCAACTCCAGATTCCAAAATACCATTCAGGGACTTCCCTGGTGGCACAGTGGTTAAGAATCCACCTGCCAATGCAGGGGACACAGGTTCAAACCCTTGTCCGGGAAGATCCCACATGCCACGGAGCAACTAAGCCCGTGCACCACAACTACTGAGCCTGCGCTCTAGAGCCCCTGAGCCATAACTACTGAAGTCCGTGCTCCTAGAGCCCGTGCTCCGCAATGGAAGAGGCCATCGCAATGAGAAGCCTGCGCACCGCAGTGAAGAGTAGCCCCTGCTCACCGCAACGAGAGAAAGCCGGTGCAGCAACCAAGACCCAATGCAGCCAAAAATAAAAATAAATTTGTAAAAGAAAACCCAGAAACAAACAAAAACTCCTTTACCTCAGTGGGTTAGAAAACATGGCTCTCATGCTGCTGTGGAGACAGGTTTTGAGATTTGCAGAAAGTACCTCTAATTCAAATTGGCAAACTGCCCTTCCTGCCTTGCATTTTAATGACTCTGACATGTGCATTCTTCCTTGTTTCCTTTGGCTGGTCTTTGGAAAATGCTTTTTCACATAGCTGTGGGGTTAGTGAGGGTTCTGAGTGCATTATTTTTTTTCCAGGAGGGTGAAATGAACCACAAATACAGCTGCTGACTCTCTAAAGTTTGAAGGTGATAGAACATTTAAGGGTGTGTCGTAGTAACCTAAAAGTGTGCAAATTGGTAAAAATATGCTTGGCCCATGTCTGCCGGGGAAAACAGAAGTGGTCATCGGGAAGCACTTTTCATCACATCGTGTGGTTGGAACCTGAAGGCAACATGCTGTCAGCATGATGTCAAGCAAGTCCGGTCTGTCCTGGAATTGTTAATAATCGCAGTTATTTTTTTCTTATTTCTGAACCTTATTTTAGAATGACTCAAGTCTAGTGTGTTCCCGTTACCTTCAGTACTGCAGAGCGACCGATCTCTACCTTGATTTAAGAAACATCAAGAGAAACCACGAGAGGTACTTCAGTGGGAGAGGTTAAAATCTAAGGGAAATCCTGAAATATTTGCAGTTTCAGGATTTGCAAGCCTGGGATTTGCTTCCTAATAATATGGTGATGAGGTTGGGGAATGGGGGAGGGGATGAATGACCCACAGTGGTCATAATGAGTTGATCATTATGAAACTGGGTGATGGGTACATTAGATTCCTTGTACCATTTTGCTACTTTTGGGTATGTTTGAAATATTCTATTATAAAGAGTTAACTTCTAATGAAAAACTGATTTTAGAAATTGGCAAACCACTTTAGTTACAACCCACGTGTCTGAGTCATGAAAATATTTTCCAAGCTTAACTTAATGTTTTGTTGTACACCAGATTTAAGGAAGATTTTTTCCAGAGCGGGGAAATTGGAGGACACTGTAAACTTGACATTCGTACGTTGATGTCTCAAGGCCAGCGCAAAAGCCCTTTGCAGTCTTGGTAAGATTTTTTTTTGGAAAATATGTTTCTGAAATATTTGTCTTTGTTATTGGTACTTGCAGATTTTGGTAGGGATTCTCAAATGGAAAATGTTACTCTATTTGTAGATAATTTGGCCTGAGCTTCTGGGGAGTGGTGGCTCCTGAGTGAATCATCAGTTGTATCCGAATTAAATATATATTTATAAAATATTCGGAAGTATGATATAGTACTTACTATTTGCTAATGAAAGAAAAAAGTTCAAAACTGAATTTTTTTAATTCATAATTTCTGCATGTGATTTGGGGAACATTTTAAAAATATATACATTTACTGAAGTACATACCAAGCATATAGAGAAATGTACAGTTTGGATTATGAAAAAGTGAACCCACTTGAGTAACTCTTACCTGGGTCGAAAATAGACCATCATCCACCCAGGCTCCCTTCCAGACACAACCTCCATCCTCCTTTCCAAAGGTAAACACCACCCTGACTTTAAGCACCTTTGAGAAGCTTTTTGAACTTTATATAAAGATTGGATTTTGATTTAAAACATTTTGAATACTAAACTAATTCTATCAAGAAATTTACCATCTTTAGAGATTAAAGAATTAGGGTACTTTAAAAGCTTTTTATTTTAAGATAACTTGAGATTTGTAGACATTTAAAAATAGTTTAAAGATGGTACAAGAAGTTTAAAAATAGTACAAGGAGTTTCCATTGTACCCTTACCCCAGCTTCCTCTAATGATAACATCTTACATAACCATAGCACAATGATGCAAACCAGGAAACTGACATTGGTACAATATTATTAACTAAACACATTTGGATTTTATCAATGCTTAACATGCATTCTTTATTTTTTAGGGGGATGTATTGCTCTATAAAATTTATATCATATGCTTAGGTACATGTAACCACTATTACAATCATGCTACAGAACTGTTCTGTCATCCTAGAAATTGTCATGCTCTCCTTTACAGTCACACAGGACACTCATATAATGTTCATTTTTTTCTTTTTATTGAGGTATTGTTGATGTACAATATTATATAAGTTTCAGGTATATAACATAGGGATTCACAGTTTTTAAAGGTTATACTCCATTCATAGGTACTATAAAATATTGGCTGTATTCCCTCTGTTGTACAATATATCCTTGTAGCTTATTTATTTTATACCTAATTGGTTGAACCTCTTAATCCCCTACCCCTTTCTTGCCCCTCTGCAATTCCCTCTCCCCATTGGTAACTGCTGCACCAGTTTACGTTCCCGGCAACGGTGTATGAGGGTTCCCTTTTCTCCACATTCTTGCCAACATTTGTTATTTGTGTTTTTTTGATGATAGCTATTCTGACAGGTGTGGTTTTGATTTGCATTTCCCTAATGATTAGCGATGTTGAGCATCTTTTCATGTACCTGTTGGCTCTCTGCATGTCTTCTTTGGAAAAATGTCTACTCAGTTCTTTTGCCCATCTTTTAATGGAGTTGTTTGTTTTTTTGATGTTGAATTGTATGAGCTCTTTATATATTTTGGATATTAACCTTTTATCTGTCATATCATTTGCAAATATAGTCTCCCATTCTGTAGGTTGTCTTTTCATTTTGTCAGCTGTTTCCTTTGCTTACAACTGCTTTTAAGTTTACTTAGGTCCTGGGACTTCCCTGGTAGTCCAATGGTTAAGACTCCATGCTTCCACTGCAGGGGACATGGGTTTGATTCCTGGTCAAGGAACTAAGTTCCCATGTGCCGCACCACTTGGAGTGGCCAAAAAAAAAAAAAGTTTACCTAGGTCCTATTTGTTTATTTTTGCTTTTATTTCCTTTGCTTTAGGAAACAGATCAAAAAAATATTGCTATGATTTATGTCAAAGAGAGTTCATTTCTGAGGTCAAACATTCATGCTAGGGCTTCCCTGGTGGCGCAGTGGTTGAGAGTCTGCCTGCCGATGCAGGGGACACGGGTTCGTGCCCCGGTCCGGGAAGATCCCACATGCCGCAGAGCGGCTGGGCCCGTGAGCCATGGCCGCTGAGCCTGCGCGTCCGGAGCCTGTGCTTCGCAACGGGAGAGGCCACAACAGTGAGAGGCCCGCGTACCACAAAAAACAAAACAAAACAAAACAAAAACAATCATGCTAAGTAAACCATTCAGGATAACAGTCTATCATTTTACTCTCTGCAAAGCAGGATCTTACTTGACTTAACAGACTTTTGCAGTAGGAGTTCCTGTTTTCTCATGGGCATTTTGATTCCTAGCACACTTTGATATCTGAGATCCAAAATAAATGTTTGATATTTGCTTCCTGCTACCTTTTGATATCATGATAGTTCCCTAGGGTGTATTTGTATTAGTTATTGCTGTATAATAAATTACTCAGACATTTAGCAGCTTAAAACGATAAACATTTATTATGTCATGAAGTTTCTGATAGCCAGGATTTGGAGGCTGCTTAGCTGGGTGGCTCTGGCCAGGGTCTCCGAGGAGGCTGCAGTCAAGCTGTTGACCAGGGCTGTGGCCCTCTATAGGCTCAGCTGGGCCTGCAGAATCTGCTTCCTAAGCTTGCATGTCATCTTTGGGCTTTCTTGTCTGGCTGTTGGCCAGAGGTGTCATTTCTTTACCATATGCGCCTCTCCGTAGGGCTACTGACAACATGGCAGGCAGCTTCCCCAAGAGTACGTTGTCTGAGAAAGAGAGAGGGAGAGCGAGAGGGAAAAAGAGAGAGAGAGAGAGCACAAGCATGTCCCAAGATGGAGGCCTCGATCTTTGTATATCCTAATCTAGGAAGTGACCACCATCACTTCTGCCATATTCTGCTCATTAGAAGTGAATCACTAGGGCTGCCCTCGTGGCGCAGTGGTTAAGAATCCGCCTGCCAATACAGGGGACATGGGTTCAAGCCCTGGTCTGGGAAGATGCCACATTGCCGCGGAGCAGCTAAGCCCGTGCGCCGCAACTACTGAGCCTGCACTCTAGAGCCCGCGAGCCACAACTACTGAGCCCGCGAGCCACGACTACTGAAGCCCGCGCGCCTAGAGCCTGTGCTCTGCAACAAGAGAAGCCACCACAATGAGAATCCTGTGCACCGCAACAGAGAGTAGCCCCCGCTCGCCACAACTAGAGAAAGGCTGTGAGCAGCAGCGACAAAGACCCAGTGCAGCCAAAAATAAATAAAATAAATAAATTAAAAAAAAAAAAAAGAACTGAATCACTAAGTCCAGCTCACCCTCCAGGGGAGGATATTCATCTCTACCTCCTGAAGGAAGAAATATCACAGAATTTGTGGACCTGATTTTGAAGCCACTACAATAAACATTTCAGCATTATGTGTGTTTTAAAAGGCTCTATGTGATATTTGTCGTACCTCAGACATGGTCTTAAAGATGAAGAGTTACAGCAATCTTTAGGTTAGCTTGTGATTGTCTTCTTTTGTATGAAAGAAAATTGTACCAAGTGGCTTCCAAAGTTGTTTTCCGAGAAACAGACTTTCCTTACCTCTGGGAAGCATAGCTGTCTGCTGTTTTTTCTAGGCACTTGGTAATTCCCGGAATGCCATGTTTCTCAGAATCCAAGAATGTTCTCTGGGTCAGTGTTACTTCTGAGCCTCGTCAGACTGCAAGAAACCTTTTTAAATCTTCCCACTTTACTGGTAGAGTTTTTTGGTCAACTCTATGTGTAAATTTTTTCTTTGTCAGCAAAGTTCCCAGTTGGTCTTGCACATTAGGCTGAAATTTAAAATCGTTTTTGCTTTTAGTCTCAACATTAAGATTGATATCAAGTTGCATAAATGTTAGTAAGTTTGAGAAGTTCCACATGTCTTTATGAGTGTTTTCTAGAAATAAAATCTGCTTAATGAACAGATCTAAGTTACAAGGTTTCAGTAGGAAGTCCAGGAGACTCCCTTTGAAAGTATCTCTTGATTCTTAATTCCAGGTTTGCTGAGCTACAAAGCTATACTCAGCTCAACTTCAGACCAGTAGAAGATGCTAAGTGTGACATTGTTATTGAGAAACCAACCTACTTCATGAAATTAGATGCAGGTGAGAAGTTAATTTGTCTCTTATTTATTTATTGGTTAACGGGTTTTGTTCCTTTTTTTTGATATATGTATTCCTATAATTTGGGAGCAAGCAATGTGACATTAAACAATAGATTTGCTTTTTGCTTTCTTGTGAGGAAGTGAACTAATTTGAACTTCCCACTGTTTTATATTTTTGGCATGCTAGAAGAAACTTTCACATTGATATCAAATGACTCAATCAAAATCCAAAGATGAGAGGAGAAAGACTGGGTACCCCTTTTGTAACTACATTTACCTCATGTGGTTTCTCTAATTGCTTGATTTAGCTGGTGCTTCAGTAGAACTCTTTAAAAATTAAAAGCCATGTATATAGTGCAGGTGGGAAAGGAAGGCCCATGACCTCTTCTGGCAAACTTTCTGGTATCATCTCCATGACTAAAGTTAACTTAAAATTCTTTTGGAAGTTAGCTCTGCCATATATTCTTTTTTTTTTTTTTTTTTTTTTT